GTATATACTGTCATAGTCCAAAAGTCTCTACAATGACAGTTCAAGTTATACGCTCAATAAAATAAAACTATAGTCCATCTAATCTAAGAGGTATCGTTTGACAGTTCTGACAGATTGAAGTATAGCGATGGGGTCAAAGAAATCGATTACTAAAATATCTGATTCTTAAGTGATTTCGATATCATTTCTTAGTATGTACTAATCGATTACAGTTTTACAGATTTATATATGTTACTATAAAAGCCGGTGTAATGGCACATCATAGGTTTTACTAGTAAATCTTAGTATACTAGACTTGAACACGAGCGAGTTTTGCCTACAAAGATTTATTTAAAATTACATTAACTTACATTCTTTTAATTTTAATTATGCGTTTTCGTTGAGAGTTGGATGTCAGATGAATTTTAAATCTCTCGTTATTAATAACTTCGATTTTTCGAACATTTTAACGATTATTCGTATTCAAGTAAATTTGAAGAGCCGCAAAACTACGGTAAAGGACCTAACTTCGTGAATTTGAAATAAAGTTTGAAAAAAAATCTATTGGGTATAAATTGGTGACTTTGCGAAAGATTCGAATTAGTAAATTTAGTCAATTAAAATAAAAATAGCTACATAACTCAATGGTTTTACGGAAAAGGTTATTCAAATTGTGTGAGTTACGCCTATACAAAGTTTTTTGTTAAGGGATAAGGGGGCAAACGAGCAGACGGGTCACCTGATGGTAACCAACTACCGCCGCCCATGGACACCTGCAACACAAAAGTCACAAGTGCGTTGTTGGAGTCTATAGTCCAAAGGTGTTTCGTCTTGAAAAGTATGAAAAGTCTCTTAGATTAGATGGTCGATAGACAATCAAAACAGTCAAAATTCGAACGCCAGGCGGTCTTCAGTCAGTGGGAACAGGATATCAGTAGGTATATTTGATCACATATTGTAATTAATCTTTTAACTAATATCCTTTTCATAAAAATGTCCGCTGACGGTTAAAAATGTGTTTTATTTTTTTTAAAGCATTAGCTAATGAAATGAATCAAGTGTAGCAAATACATAATGTTCGTAGTTCAAACAAAAACCCAACCAAAGAGGGATATATACTCACTTAGCAAAAATAAATATTAATTTTCATAGTTCATTTGCTCCGTTATTAAAAGAATTTTTTTTAACACCGAAAGTTTTAATTTTTTTCAAACTAGCTTTAAGATGAAAGATATATCCTTCATCCCTTTCACTGCTCCTGATAACGTTCGTGATTTTTTTAATAATATTATATATATATATATATATATAATTAATAAGCTATTTTGATTTATATAAGTAGGTAGTCTATTATATAGTAGTATATTATACAAAAGAAAATGCGTATTTTGGTACACTGCGCTAGTATTATTTATATAATACGTATTCACTGAACATACTTAGTGTCATTATTTAAAACACAATAATTTGGATAAACGCCACTGTATATTTTAATAGAAAACTTTTGAGAAAAACGATCGTTAAGTTTCCGGATATTACGTTAAAATAAAATACAATTAATCTATCTAATTTGATTTCTTCGTAAAACTATTAGGAGACCAACAGTTTTATAAAGCTTAAACAAATCTTATTTTTTTATTTAAAACTTCTTATATATATACTTATACTACTTAGACGCTTTACTGTGGTACATTGTGCTTGCATTGATGAAAAATGAAGATGAAAAATGATGCGAAAAATAGATAAAAATAACCTTTGAAGCGAGTTACATATCTTGTCAACATTCAAGCACAGTGTTTAACTTTTTGAGTTTTAAATCATACACAAACCAACTTAACATTTTTATAAATATTGATAGCAATTAGTTTCAGTTTAATATAAAGTAAAATATTTAATACTAGGTACAAACATCATACACACACACACATCCAGTACATAAGTCAAACAACATTTTGCTCGGCAGCAAACTCTTGAGCAAATTCTCTATTTCAGTTCGGGAAAGGAAAATAGGTTTTAAAATATATTTTTAAGGTAGCTATAAGAGGACAAACGAGCAATCGGGTCTTCTGATGGTAAGTAATCAACAACGCCCATGGACACCCTTGACTCAAGAGTTATAAGTGCGATGCCGCAGTTTAAGTCCTCCCCCAGAATCAGGAGGAGGAGGAAGGGCCCTGGTAACTCACTCGATGCAGAGTATCGAAAAAATTGTTTAACACCAGTTTTCTGTGAGGCCGTAGCCGGCCGGCCTATTTAGCTTAAACATGGCTATCCCACGGTAATTAACAAATAACTTTTATTAGCTCTCTAGTGTTAAGGTTATTTTTAGGGAAGAGAGGGCAAACGAGCAGACGGGTCACCAGATTGAAAGCGACTGCCGCCGCCCATGAACGCTTGCAGCTCATGAGTTACATTGCCGGCCAGTCGCGTTGCTGACCTGTGAGGAAGGAGTGGTTTGGAGGTCGTATCGGTCCGGAAATACCGGTTTTTTTCTTATTATTACACTTTTTTTACTACTTTAGAGATACAACTCCGAAGGTGTAATATTTTTATCACTTATCTGTCAATAGTAAGAGAAATATTGTTAACGGTAGGTATATGTTTATGAAGTTATGTTTGCTGACACTTGCTCAAAAATAATCTTAAAAATATTTTCTACTAGGTAATCCATTGTTTGGTTTCGTTAGGTAAGTACTGTTATATTAATCGTCAAGAAATGTACTTAATAGCTGGTATCTCTCTCTTCGGAGTTATTCATCCTACTTTATCCAATAAACTTGACATTCGTGCTCTGAGACATGAGAGAGTGTACTCACCCATGTACAAAATATAGTAGTAACTAGTAGTAAATATAATATTTATCTATTTATTCTTATGTAAACAATATAAACATTTATAACAAAAATACATTAGGGAATAGTAGGCACAAAGGCGAGCTTAACCCAAGAGAGAGTCGTGTGTACAGAGTAAATTTTAGAAAATATACAGAATTAGAAATATAAACGAAATAACCCAATATCATGTAAATAAACTAAAATATAACACAAGTTTATACATTAAATTTACAACCAATGTAACATTTATATACCTAATAACTTCATACATATATATATTAGTCTTTTACTGCTGAGATAGGAAAAAATCCCCGATTCGCCTCTTAAAAACACTCAAGGATGGGCTATCGCGTATGGAGTGGGGAAGAGAATTCCACAGTAAATTTACAGGATAGGTACGGTTATGAAGAGCCGAATACAGTAAAGTAACTATATGAACATCTCGACGAGTTTGTAGCCACTTGAGTTGCTTGCGGAATTCCGACACATGATCATACTTTCTTAGGCATAATATATAAAGCGAATGCACAAATTCTGCAATCGCTCAAACTTATATCAAAGTTCTTCAGTAGAGTCGAGAAAGGAGACATCAGTATAGTCTAAAAGGGGAAGGAGAAGGGTTGTGAAAGATAGATTTTAGTTTGAAAGGGTCGAAAATTTTGAACGCTCTTTAGGGAATGATAATGACTAATGATGAAAGACTTTGTACTTACCTCAGTTACATGTGTAGTCCATGACATGAAACTTAATAAAAACGCCGAGATGTTTCACAGAAGACGAGTAAGGTATGAGAACATTGTTGTAAAAAAAACTGGAGGTAGTGTGGAAATATTTAGTCTACCATAGATGTATCTGCCACCAATAACTATTGCTTGAGATCAGTAGTATAGTATTTTTTTTTAGACTCTATATACTCTATATTCCCTCAGGTCTCTAGACATTCAAGGGAAAGGGATAATGAGTTGGATTGGGGTGTATAAGCAATAGCTCGAGCATGTCATTATTATTATTTTTTATATATTATTACGGTTTAAGTTTATATAAATTTTATGAACAAATGAATTACAAAGCTCTTTCTGTTACTTCTTGTCATCATAAAAATAAAAAGTTTAGTCAAATCAAGTCAAAAATAAAATAGATAATTTCAAGCTAAAAATAAAATGTAATTTTTTAACAAGGTATTTAAAAACAATATTAATTAGTCCTTCTATTTTTTTAAATTCAGTTTCCTTGAATTTTCAACATCTTTCAACTAAATTATTAGTAGGTAAAAAGTACAGTGATTCCCTGCAACTTGTTAATCTCTTTTTTTGTAATTTTATTTAGATATACCTACTTAATATGTATTTATATCTGCCTACCTAATATTATTTAGGCATGGTTCAAATTTCCACATCTTAAATAGAAAGACACATTGTATAATAAAATAAATACCTAATCTCCGTATAGTATAATTCTAGTATAATTCTCTTTTAAATATTACAATTTAATTACGATGTTATTCATGTAAAAATGAAACAAATAGCTTGTTATTATTTTGAGAAATCTTTGACATTAACTTACATAAAACTTACCTAACACTGGCTTCAGAGTTAAGAAAATTAAGACCATGTAGAAAACCAAGAGTAGATCAGCGGCCATTTAAAGTCCAGCAAGTTACTTAAGATGGATAAAATATAAGATGCGTATTAACTTAACATTACTTGGCAAGGAATCGGAGAATAATTTAATCCTATATTTGTATAAATTAAATGTAAGCTATCATAAAACATTATTTAAAAAAATGCGTCGCTATTTGCGGCGGCGGGATAACATTCAACAGAAAGCTTCCTAGCCGCGGGTTTAATTTTTATTGAGTTAGAATATTCTATTTTAAAATAAATAAAAGTATATTCCATTATAAATGTATTTTATTGTTTACATGACTGTATAAAAATAATCACTTGATCACGATTCATCATTATATTACTTGTATATGAATGTAGAATAAAAATATGTGGCAATTTATATCTAACTGGCTGTAAGTACAACGCACATGTTTTTTTGGACTTTGCCAACATAATTAGTACAGCAATTTCAGGGTTATCTTTTAGTTATATAATAAACATAATCAGTTTTTTAGCTCTGTTTCAGTGACTTTAATAAGATTCTTATAAGAACTACGAAACAAAATTCTAACTTTGTGAAATGAAGATTTATAAGCTCAACACCAACAGAAATGACAGTTCGTGTCATGCATTCATACATTGTATATTGTGTGAAGAGTTGGATGATCCTCCTGTCGTGAGAAGAAGCCGGCTACATGTGACAGTGATACTCACAGTTAGACGTTACAGTTGGACAAAGGATGACACCCCGATGACTCCTCGGAAAGCTGATTCTCACAGTGTGTGTACACGAAATCCGATGATATCCGTCATAATCTGGTACAAGCCACGGGATTACGAGCGTCAAGCACCGGCCGTCACCCACTAACGTAAACACAGAGAACAAACCGTATACGAATCCGATACCGATAAATCAAAGCGCACGATCGCGGCGACGTCGCTTATCCGCTAAATCCTGTCGGAATCGCGTAAAAAATACTAGTATTAAAAACAGTCTTAAGTGGGCTTACATACGCGGCGCGGTGCGGCCCGCGCTGGCTCTAATCTCGGCCACTTCCCGGAGCAATTTGAACCTAACTCCACCACTCTATACATCATCCAACAGCCGCCCGCCCATCTCGCCGGTCTCGACGCCGCGCTCTCCCCATACACTCGTCTCCCTCACACGCACTCATCCACCCTATAGCTATCTCCCTCCCCCTGAAATCTCGCCACACTGAAAATTCAGTGCGTGGTGTGGCGGGGCGCGGGGCGGGGGACGCAGTCAGCTGGCCGAACTTGTGCGAATAAAATCGACTTTTTATCGGCTTGATGACGCTTCGTGACGTCACTGTTTACTTCTGTCCGTGAAGTGTGGACACTAGATCTTTGATGGACTACCGTGACGTGCTACCATTCATATTTGTTTTAGTTGGAAAATCATAAAACTCGATAGAGTTTCTGTTTAGCTTGTTCAGCTAACACACTACATTTTCGTCAAGAAGTTAGGTGTATATTATCTACAGTAAATATATATTCTATTAAATAGATGCATTTTAGATCCTATTAGCTAAGTAGCACCAGAAATACTACAAATTAATTTCCAAAATAGAAATTAATCTAAGTTGATCTAATAAATTGTGTTCTAAAAACTCATTTATATTAAGCAATATGTTTTCCTTATAGCATAAAATAATTGCAGTTTAAATCGCGGCGTGCACCGGAGTGGGCCGCAATAAATCGAGCCGCGCTCCGGCTCGCTACGTAAACAGATCGCGCGCATTAACCGCGCGTCGGCGTACATAAAGAGAGCGGTATAAATATAAAGTTCCCACTCGCCGCCGCGCAAACTTAGCTAAACAACACCATAATTGCCTTCATTACTTAAATTACTGAAATTATTTATTCAAAAAGCTGGCAACATTTAGCAACGGGTAGCTCCACCCAATTTATCGCAAACAACCAATGAGATAACGGCGTGCATTAGAGGGCGGAGCATGCGGCAATATGGCGGCAACCTTACCGTAGCGTTCGGTCCTGTACGCTCGGGGCGCGCCGCCGGTGCATGCTGTTTCAGTCTGTTTTCACGCGCTGACTTTTCACGTGTTTTCGAGTGGTTAATTAGTTCGGCATTGTTAATGAGTGCGACCGTAGCAGGCAGCGAGGCGTAGTGCGCTACGCAGCATCTACGCATCTGCTACGGGCCTACGTCCGACGGCAAGTCACGTCGAAGATGCGCCGTCGGCAACTTGCCGACGGATGTGGCTACTCTTGCTTCTAAATTGTATTACCAATCAATTACCTACCTAAGTGCTGTAGCTAACATCGAACAGGATAAATGAGAGAACAATTACATTTATAGACAATATTGAAAAGTAATTTCAATTGTAACTCATAAACAGTAGGTAAATTTATCAATTAAACATATAGAGGTGACAACTTGACCCCCTGTGCCTACTAACTACTAACACTCGTAACACGATAACCTAACCTAACACCTACTTCATCATCATCATCGACAACCTTTAATGGTCCACAGCTGAACATAGGTCTCTCATTAGGAAGGAGGTTTTGGCCTACTATACTACGCTCGTCAGACGGGTTGGTACAGTGTTGGTGTCAAGTTTTTGTTCTCTTTGCAGTACTATTGTCCTGCGTAGTTTGCTTCCTTAGTCCGCTCTTACCTCAACCAGGGGATGACTAGGGGTGGTGATACTCTGTATCCCTAATCCGTCACTAACCGTCACTAACATTGTAAAGAATAAACGAATAATATAAAAACTAAATAATCCTAAGCATTCATAAATGAACATCTAACATCCCTAAATGTAGGTATAGCTATAAATATATTCAATGAGTAAAAAGAACCTATCGAATAAAATATCACTAGGTACTACAGTTTCACACTAGAGTAACTAAGTCTAATTATTGTCTAAAATCTATAAATAATATTATTATTCATGGGAGAAGCATGCTTCAGCATACATGGGGTAGCTCGATTGCAGTAAAACAACGACCTCACAGAAAATAGGTATTAAGAAATTTTGAAGTGAAAACTTGGCGCGTTGGGCATTTTTGAACAACAAACAAAATAATGTATTTTATTGTTTAACAAAAAACATTTTTTTTTAAATGGGAAAAAAACAATTTAAATCGCGACACTGTTACCGTTACCGACACCGCTGTATATAATTTTATACATATATTGGCTCCGTTAACATGAGAGTTGAGTTTGGGTTGAAATACATGGATAATATACTCGTAACTATATATAATATAAACATATATTGTGTATATACGTACAACATAGATGTATATTCACGTCGGAACTTTTCAAATCGAAAAAAAAATTACATTTAATTGTTCAAGATTTTACCTACTTCTGTCGGTACTCCCTAGCCACAGTTTTTGTTGTTACTTTTGACCGAGTGAGTAAGGCTCAAGAGGCCCAAACACCTCACCTTCGGGAGGGTACACAGATGACGACAACGCACTTATGTCACTTGAGTTTCAAGTGTCCCTGGGCGGCGGTAGTCACTTACCATAAGGTGACCCAAATGCTCGTTTACCCGCTAGACAATAAAAATATGTAATTTTAAGATATTTTTTGTATTACACTAAAATTAATGGAGCATTAAACAATCCTCTAAGTTTTTATATTTGGTTTAAATACTTTTATTTGAATATGTAGATCCTATCCTGCTCTACACTGCTAACCCGTCTGACATGCCAGGGCCTCAATTTTGCTATTTTATGTTCACGCCAAGCCACTGTCATACCACTGACACGCTATTGAGATGCCATCGAGTGGTCATTGGCATCGGTATAAATATCGGTAGTCTACACTAGCTCAGTGTCTTTACAGTGGCAATAGAATGGCAGTGGCTCATTAGTGGTGATATCAAAAAGATTGCCATATTTGGAAAAATAAATAAATCATTTCCTTATAATTTGAAAATGTATTAGGTTTTTTTAATTTTGGTCCATAAAGTTGTTATGGATTTATCATATTTATTGATACAAATGTATAAACTACAACGATATAATACACCGTAATTAATAGAATTATCGTTGCTGTTTTTGTGGTTGTTTAGTTAGTGTAGACTACCGACATTTATACCGATGCCAATGGCCACTCGATGGCATCTCAATAGCGTGTCAGTGGTATGACAGTGGCTTGGCGTGAACATAAAATAGCACGTATAGTCCCTGGTATAGTAGACCAAAACCTTCTTTCTAAGAAGAACCCTATGTCCAGCAGTGGACTATTTGGCTAAAGGCTGTGATGTGTGCTCTACACCAAACAGTTGAATTCCTTGGCTTGGCGTGAACATAAAATAGCACGTATAGTCCCTGGTATAGTAGACCAAAACCTTCTTTCTAAGAAGAACCCTATGTCCAGCAGTGGACTATTTGGCTAAAGGCTGTGATGTGTGCTCTACACCAAACAGTTGAATTCCTTCGTCTAAAGGTTGTCTATAAGAAATTACATCCAGCTACATGATCGCCGTGTAACATCAATAAGTCTTGTAAAATATAATAAATTGTTTTTATAAAGTGTCCAATAAAGAAAATTGTAATGTATTGTGTGTTTTTGTCCTTATATTACCCGTAAAGTACATACAATAAGGGCCAGTTACACTTTTTCTGAATAAAGTGCCTAGATTATCACTGTGTCCCTTACGAGTTTATGTTAGAAATGTTCTGCTTTGACTTAACTATACGAATGTACATTCTACTAGATACTTCTTTGTCAAGATGCTCTAAATTGATTTCTGACACCGCAATGGTTGATTAATCTTATAACCTACATCCATCCTGGAAAGAATCTTAAATTCATTATTAACTATTTTAACTCATAATAGTTATCCACACATTGACACAAATATTATTTGGTCAGATGTATCTACATGTACATATATTAGTATGTATGTTATTACCTACTCGTTAATGTAAACCACAGGAATTAAAATTTGAAACACCTACTTAAAATAATAAAAATAATATCTTGAGACATCTCACACACAGCCGTTTAATCCCAAATTAGCCGCAGTCAATGATATAGTCACCAGACTGCTAATAAACATAGTTAAGTATGGCTAAATATATACATATTACAGATACATTACACCCAGACACAGAAAAAATTATCGTGCTTATCACACAAGAATTGTCCTGGGTGTATGTGTGGTGAATCGAACCCACGACCTCTGTCTTAACAGTTATGATCACTAATCGCTAGACGAACAGGTGCGCCAGTTAAAACATTTACACGTAGTTCTTTTATATGCATAGTGCAAAGAGCACAAAAAATATCTGTTGTACTTACTGTTAAAAATTACGTAAAAACGGCTACATGAAAAAATAGGAATCTAGCATGCATTTTGTCATTTTTTATGGAAAGGGGCCAAACGAGCATAAGGTTCACCTGATGGAATGTGACTACCGCCGCCCATGATTGCCTGCAACTCAGGAGTCACAAGCACGTTGCCGGCCTTTGAAGAAGGAGTACGCTCTTTTCTTAAAGCTTTGAAGGCCGTATTGGTCTAGAAATATCGTAGATGATAACTTGTTCCACAGATTGGTAGTGCGGGGCACAGTGGTAGAGTACCAATTATCCAAGTGAAACGATGGCGGAAAATTGCGCTCGGTATGAGAGCAAGGTCACACGATGCCCTGATGGTGCGGTGCGGCGCCGCACTGTTATAAATTCGAAGTATGGGGTGCCACACGGGTGGTACGATTAGTGGTGTAGTAATAAAACACGTTTCTTTCGCTTCATAGTCGTTAACAGATTCAAGTAACCCTATACACACTGACTCATTGAAGTTGCTGCACCGTGACAAACACCGTGACAACACCCGTGTGGCACCCTATACTTTGAATTCATTACAGTGAGGCGCCGTACCGCACCATCAATCCAACGTGTGACCTTGCTTTAAAACCGAACAACTCCTCGGAGCACTCTCCTCACCTATCATGATATAAAGCCTATACAATGAGGGTTCAAGTTATAAGTTAGATGAAATAAAATACACACAAAAATGTAGATATTCATTAGAAGAAACCGTAGGCAATCGGCCACTAACGACTGTTAAAAGGAAGGAAAATGTTTTTCATTTGACTGTTTTATTTTGTAGTTTATACTGGTAAGCGGTTTCTTGGCTAATTATAAACAGATTTGAGGGTTATTTTTAGGATACGGATAATCCTTTAGTGTGATATTTACTGTAAAATAAATATCCCACTCCAAAAATGACAAAACAACTACTGATCGTTTTAAATGTGCCTACATATTTTCAACCTATTTTAATTGTATTCTTAATGCACATTGTTTAGATATATCGATAAATACTAAAATAATAATGTAAATGACACAAGATAGTTAATTTGTTAGAAAGTTTTATCCTTCTATTCTTTATTTATTTATAACTCTTATCGTATGGCTTAACGTACTCTCCGAGGCACAGAGGGGTCTCAATACATTAAAAATGGTCACCCACCCGTAAATTGACCTGGCTATGATTGCTTTACTTTGTAATGTGTTATCCTACTCGGTTGCCACTTACTCAGGATCACTAATCACTTGACCAAAAGACCGATCAGAGTCATAATATAAATGCTTGTGTTATTGACTGCCTGGATGGTGCAGTCGTAGCGTATGCGACTGCTGAGTTGAGCTCTTGGGTTCGATTCCCGGATCGGACTAAATGTTTGTATGATCTGCAAATATTTGTTTCGGAGTTTGGGTGTTTTCTATTCTTTTTCTATGCATATTATGTATGTATTTACAAAAAAGTATATAAGTAATCTATCAGTCCATTTAGTTTAGTCAATGGCGTTGTGAGTTCAATTAGCTCCAATTTCATATCACCCTATTAAAAATCGGGCGCTGTTTAAAACTTAAAAGAACCGTAGCCAACGTAGCAGAGAACTGGCACACAAGCATACACACACGCACAGCAACCTGTGTTACTAACTGAAGATTAACATGAGATTAGCAGTAAGACCATAAGCCTGCCGTACCATCACCGAGTGAACTTGACCGAGACTATTATACGGGTATATAGAAAGTGTTTGAGTTCTACAGCAAGTGCCAAGTAAGCAGGTGTTCTAGTGTAATGGAAATAGGCGCTTCTTGGCACTTTAGTATTACAATTTAAAATCTATGACTACTTTTACCACTAATAATTATATTTTCACACATTTTGCACACACGGCCGTCTGATCCCAAACTAGGCAGAGCCTGTACTATGGTAACATGACTGCTGATATACATACATATGTAATTCTAAATACATACATATTATAGATAAATGTAAGTTGTTTTTTTTGTTACGCTTTCACGCTTAAACCACTGAACCGATTTTAAAAATTCTTCCACCAATGCAAAGCTACATTATCAGCGAATAATATAGGCTACTTGTTACCGCGATAACCGACATACACGCGGTCAAAAGCCAGTACAGTATAAAGTTAACTTAGAAAATATTTAAAAATGGTATTATAGAACACTACAACTACACACTAAATCAACATACACACTTTCGTGCTTAATATAATAGTTAGGTAGTTAAAATAGTTAGGTAGTTAAAATAGTTAGGTAAAAGATTTGCATGTAACAATAAATTGACGATTTTTGTATATTTTCCTTTACTTGGGCTGTGTGAAGAAAAATTGTTTAACTGTGGTCTTCTGCAGAGATAACTCTATTGTCGTGCCCCACTATTCCTTCTGTTCCTTCCAAAATCAGGAGCATTTTATTATCGCTGTGGTTTACTGTACTTTTGCCTCATTTTGAGGGCATTTTACTCACAAATTATAATAATAATAACTTCACACGTCTCACACACGGCCGTCAGATCCCAAACTAGGCAAAGCCGTACTATGGTAACCAGACTGCTAATAAACATCCATATATATTTCTAAATACACACGTATTATAGATGATGATGAACAAATGATCGTGCTCATCACACGATTTTTTATCCTGGAAGTGAATAGAACCCACGAACACTGGCTTAGCAGTCAGGATCACTTACATTTACAAACATGTAGAAGAATTGATAAACTACAAATTAGTCACCTGCAAACTATAGAGTTATATAGTTTTGAAAGCTATCGAATACATTCATAAAGATAAATATTTATCTAGTGATATATTTATTATGTTTTCCTCTATCTTGTCTATTGTAAGCCTGAAAAATAACCCTCTATTATACCTTTAATCAAAATAATAGTAAAAAAGGTACGTTCCTAATTCTGTTTCATTTTTTCGTAATGAATATGGTCTTAACTGTTATTTTAAATGCAAAAGTAAGTTTATAAGTAATCGACGTTTTTACTGCTTACTACTTAACCTATCATCAGGAAATCATGACATAGGGTATCTCTCATCTCGGCAAACGAGCAGACGGGACATGGTGAGTAACTACCGCAAGAGACTTTTGCGTTGCAGCCTTTGAGTCTCAAGAAATGAAAAGAGGGGAGTTATGGCTCCGTTAACCTCAGTTGACGATTTGGCTGTTGATGGCTGGCAGGAGCTGGATGGCTACAATAGGAGACGCCTATGACCAGCAGCCAGAGCCGGATTAGACAACTGCCTAGGGGCCCTGCACTGATTAGGGGCCCCGCGCGAGCACAAATGTTTCATTCCGTGCAAATTGAATTGAATGTATATCCTCAAATACAATAAGGTATTATTGTTGATGAAAAAATTCATACTTAAAGAACAGAATTATCCAGTATCGAGTAGTAGAACTAATAATGTAATACTTTACGAATAGTATAAAAAACTAAAATTTTGAAATACTTGATTTATAATTGCGATTTGGTTCTCAACATAATGGCAATTATTTGGGAATTTTAGAATTACTCGAGCAGTGTGATTCGTTTCTGAGTTCGCATTTAGCCAAATATGATAGAATCGAAAAGAGAGACAATCATAAGTATACCTATATATAAATACTTCACAATATTTCAGGAAGTTCCTCGTAAATCTTTAGACAAGACAAGACAAATATGATTGTACAAGTATTGTATACAAGAGCCGATGCGACTAAGGTTTTGTTAGAAGGTTACGAGAGTTTCCAGTTTTGCAGTCTATTGCTGATGATGATACTCAGACATCGTAAGTGATTCACGAGGCTCGATGTCTATTAAAGGACTCTGAAAAAAAGAACATGCCTGCTGAAGAAGTAAGCCCAAACATAAAACTTTTGCCGTAAGTTTGTACTTTTATAAGTTCCCGAGGAATTCTTCGGAAACTACAGCAAAATACCAGGTTGATACTTAATTAAGTATCAACTAGGCAATACTGCTGATACTATTACTCATTACCCTAAATCGAATTACAAAGAGCTGATAACCTTAAAACGGGTGAAAATGGGTCCCGAGGATTGCATTGCCTAAGAGCCTCGACATGGTTAATCCGGAATTGCCAGCAGTGGACTGCGATAGGCTGATTATAATGAACCTCACTTACTCGTTAAAAACCAAGGAAAGAACTGTATAACACCGGTTTTTTGAGAGGCCATGCTATCACTCCCGTTGAATATACTTACTTATTATCTACGAAATTTACGAAACTATTAATGTCGTAAATTTGTAAGGCAGGTAGGTTTTGTGTAAAGAAAATGTGTCCGCTATGAAATGATTTTTGATTATTCAACCTGTATATATAAAGTTAAATCATAAATATATTACAGTATAACAATGTTGTTATATAACAATAACATTTAACTTGTTTCACATGACCATCGGATTAGTGCCTGCAGCACGTTATCACAGAGCAATAAATGGGCAATAAATCTAAACTGTTATCTCTGCCACTGACTTGCGGTATCAAATTCCTTGATACCGCTGTCATTTGTTTTTTGTTTTTTTTTCAGTAGGTATAGGTTTGTATCCAAGGTCCACTTACATTGATTTCGAAATAGTAATGTATGTATTTTTTTTTTGATTTTGTCATCATTCATTTCTGTTGTCTTTTGTCCGTTAAGGAAAATAGTTCTGATTTTTTTTTTAAGTATTTTAATATCACGAAAAGAATGAACTTTTGTTTCATCATAATTATCCAATATTTAAAGGTATAATAATACTCCTTTTATAGTTTTCTCTCGATTTTCTTTTATTAAAGATCGAAACACTATTTCGTCTAAACAAACCAAAATTTTATATTTTCAAGCAACAAAATGTATGTAATGTTAAAATGACGCAAGCTGTTTCTGTGTGTATGTATATCAGGAGGTAATTAGTGCCGATGCCAAAATCGAGGGTGGAAAAAAAAAACGTACAGCAATATAATCTTTTCCATTCAGGACAATTTCGATTCTATTTCAGTTATTTCTGGATATGCAAACAACATAATTAACTTTGAAATTCTATGTAATAGATATTTTAATACAAAGTTACTTATTCAGCAATATTAACCTATCTATCTCAAAAGATAGGTTAATATGGATAGAGATGGAACAAAAAAGAATATCGCGATTATTTCAAGAAGAGAGTTTGCCAAATCATTCTATTTATAGTCAACTTCAAAATAACGCTCGCTCGCGTTTTACTTCCAATTATTCTTTTTTTTGTGTATATAAGCCTATTCTAGTTTTTTTCTTATTGAATTGGTCGTTTGAGTAGGCTCAACCTTCAGGATACTGGATACAAGGCCTCCCAGAAGGCCCTTTCTGTGCTTTCCACCGAATGAGTTAGGTTACGGAAAGTTCAATCAGTAATTTATTGGCACAAAAAGGACGGTAACGCACTTGTGTCTCTTTAGTTGTAAATGTTGCAACTCACTTTAGCTTGTTAAAAAAAAAGTTCAACTCTTTTGCCGAAGAAGAAGACTCGCGTTCTGAGACTTCCATTTACTTTTACTTTTTTAAGTGTTTGTTTGACGGAACACAGGTTAACACATATGTATTTTAGATATAAAAATATTAATTCTGAACATAATAAATTTGAAAATAGTTTCCCAACTGTAACGGTAGAAGAATAAGCAAGATGTCTAAAGGCGAAAACACATTATTAAAACGCGACGCGACGCAACGTGTTGACACCTGATGTGTACCGTGCACATTACCAACACACGATGCCACGACATACTAGCAATTTCTAAAAACAGTTAGCTGACAGCAGTGGAAGTGTACAGTTGTGTGCTATAGATTTAATAAATAACATGTTAGATGAAGGCTTTGAAGAAGGTTTGATGCAAATTTTGGTTTGTCGTTTCAGATCTACAGTAAAAACTCAGATGATACAAATGATGATGATTCAGCAGCACAAGATTCTGAATTGCAATTTGCTGAAGAATCTACACTTGCACCTCGTCCCACCATTTTTACGCCGACTCCAAGGACCGCTTCTTCAAGGGCATCTGTTTCAAGAGCGTCTACGCCCAATTCTACTGTAAGCTTTACTCCAAGACGTACAAATAAATATGATAAAAACTAAAATTTATTAAGAGAAATGGTTGATGTAATGAAAAAGTCGAAGGACATAAGAAAGAAGAGAGCAGTAACAGATATGGACGAAAATGACTATTTCTTTTTATCAATGAGAAAAAAGCAACTAAAAAAGTTACCTAAAACAGACCAAACTGAAATTAAATTTCAATTACACAAGCTTATACGCGATAATGATGAATGATGCGATGAATGAATGCGATGAATTAAGAATACGGCATATAACCACCCTGTTCATCCCATGGGTGTCGTAAGAGCCGACTAAGGGAACAAACTGCACAGGACAACAGCACTACAAAAAGAAGGACAACTTGAAACAAACCGTCTGGCCAGCGTGGTATAGTAGGCCGGAGCCTCCTTTCTGGGGAGGGGCCTATGTCCAGCAGTGGACTATTATAGGCTGTTGATGATGATGATGATACACGATTCGGCAATTAACATGCTAAATAAAAATAAACGAATTCTAAATACTCCGATAAATGTAACTGGTAACAAAATAATTGTTCGTCGATCATTTCGCTAAATTAATGCAAAAATATATATTAAATTCGCATTTACGCGTACGCTCTGAGAAAGTTCTCGAACGACTGACGCGTGGCGCCGGGTGTTGTCCAGAAACACACTGCGCGCGCCACGTCGGGTCGCGTGTTTACCCCCACCATCAGCAACACATCGATCTGGGCGATCTGAATCGTGTGGCGTGTGCGCGCATGTCGTCGCGTCGGATGTTCATAATGTGATTCTGGTCATAGTAAACAATACATTTGATTCGACTCACCACGCGTCGCGTTTCATCAGGTCGTGTAGTTTAATAATGTGTTTCTGGCTTAATAGTGACTACAAGACGCTGTTAGTTATGAAATTAAGTACCTAACAGTCTCACAACTTTTTGACGTAGAAGACCTGCATTGTGATCTACGTGCTGGGTTTTTTATCATCAACAGCCTTTAACAGTCCACTGTTGAATATAGACCTGTCCTTAAAAATAAGGTTTTGTATGCCCTATTTTTCATTTCATATATAAATATACACATTTCACCAAACAAATAGGTATATATCTCAAGGACGGCCAAATTAATCGGATATCAACATCGGCCAAATTAAACGGATATCAACATAATTTAATACGATAAACAATATTGATCAGGTAAACATCAAAAGCAGAATTACCTAGTAGATACAGCTGCTTTAATCCCTTTAAAAGTAATCAATCAAGAACGGTTATTACCAAAGGAACCACATTAAGCCCTGCTTATTTTAATTTTTTTTTAAACACCGATTGCAAATACGGTTCACGAAAACTGTGATATGACAATGTTTGTTGATTAATAAAGTAAATAAAGAGGAGGTAAATAAGGAGGAGGTTCTTAAATCGACTGAATATTTTTGTGTGTGTATATTAGCCAATATCTTAGCTCATTGTGAACCTTATTGAAATAATAATTGTTTTTTTTTAGTTTGAAGACCTTTTTTTATAAAACCTTTACAGTTCACTTGAAATAAAAAATTAAATGCCTTCATTATTAATTAATATCCGTGTGGCTATTTATACAAAACGAGCAGTGATTGTTATTCCAAACAGAGTCACTGTGCATATATTCCTATAATAGACAAAAATTCATTTAAATAAAGTAAATCAACAACAATTTCAGAAACCGATACAATTAATTAATTTAATTACTTAGTCAATTAAACACAATTTATAACCAAAGTTTTATTACATACTAGCTGACCCGGCGATCTTCGTACCGCCTTAGCGTAGCAATGATGCACTACTTTATTTTGTATAGCTGACCTATCTTAGGTATGAGTACCTATTCAATTTGAACTGCAATCTATAATATCCTCCATATAAAAATGAATCCATAATTTCTGGTCTCGCTATACCTGAAAAGGACCTTACTAATTTAATTAAAAAAAGAACAAAATATATATTTTCATAACAGTGTTTATTCCACTACTCGAGTTGAATTTTCAAGCATATAATTTAACTAAGGAAAAAATATTCTTTGTGATACTAATTATCTTATTTTATGATTACTGATTATTAAAATAGTTTAATTGATAGTAAATATTATTTTAAATACTTAAATAAAGTATTGGACATCACTATCACAGATTACCACAGATTTTTTTTATAAATAATTTTTAGAAATTTTTAATTTTTAAAAATATAAGTAACCACGTTTCCGAACAAACAATGCTCTTTCAATATAGTCTATGGCCGTGAATGACATTGGCTGCGTTCAAGTTTACTAAGTTCTTGGCAGATCTTAGCATATCTTGTAGCAACAACTTGAAGTAACTATTTTTTTTTTTTAATCTATAATAAAACAATGCAAGACATATTTATTTAAGTGTGTCTAAAATTAATTTTTTGGTAGATAAAGTCAGCCCTGCTCAGAACTTAGTAAACCTGAACGCAGCCATTGACATTCGTTACGCGCGTTTTTTTAAATATGCAAAATTAAATGTATATTTTTCAATATTTCTGAGATTTTCTTAATATTTTTTTCTGTAAGAACCTTCTCCTAATAATAACAAATACAACAAAAAAAGAATTAGTGAAATCGGTCCAGCCATTCACGCGTGATGCCGTGACCAAGGAAAACGGGTTTCATTTTTATATATATAGATTCATATAGTTTCGTTTAAAATACATTTATATTAGTTGACTAGTGTTAGTTGCTTAGTGAAACGGTGTAAATCCAATCTTTCGTGGCTATTCCGACCGAGTGAGTGAGTTTACTGGAGCCTAAACCGCCCCCTTTCTCCTATTTCGTTAAAGTCGAGGGGGGCTAAAAGAGCGGCAAAAGCATCTTGGGACTCTTGCATTGCAGGTCTACGTTTGGCGGTTGTCAATTACCATTAGGTGACCCGTCTGCTTGTTTTCCCCCTGTACCATAAAAAAAAGTAATACTCATGCTTAATCCCATGTAAATTTAAAAGAAATATTAAATTTCTAAGGGTTTAATACTAAAGGATGAAAAAAACAATTCATGAAACTGGTATAACTAATATAAGAACAATATATGTCGTAATTCACATTTATTAACGGTAAACAGTTTTACGTACGTGTGTGACGCCTGATGGTTAATGCTGGCGCGGCAAAACGTTTCACATCTTGAACAATATATAATTTATTTGGCCTTTTTTATTTATTAAAGATGATTAATAACTTATTAAGACTAAAAAAGTAACAAGTAAGTTTATCACATATGCTTCAGCACACGCCTTAGTACGTGGCAAAAGACACTACCGTAGTTTTAGGTATGCAAAAAGCCTAGCATAAATTATTGTGTTGTCATCGGTCCTTGATAAACCTGCAAAGTTTCAATTGAATTAGAGAAGTAGATCAAAATCACGTTCAAAGATTCCGTTACATACATACTCGTGCATATATACTCACATACACAGGTACATACGAAGCTAATAAAAGCGTGTTAAAAGGGACCCCATTAGGTCCAATACTATCCGGGGCATCCCTGAAAAACACATGTAAATAAAACCGTTTATTTTTGATAAATACGGTATTATACCGTATTTATTATTCAAAATTTTATATGATCTATATCATTCATGCTAACAGTCTCTATAGTGTTATTAAATTTAGTTGGAACTCTTACACCCTACTAATCATAAGAAATAGTAAAGTACTAATGATTGTCTTCAAAATAATGTTTTTCTTATCATTTTTACATATTAAAGAATTAAAATTCGTGTTAAAATGGCGTTAAGATGGCGTAGTGGTTTAAGCGATCACCTCGCCGTTTTCCGCTACTACGATGCGTGTTATGGGTTCTATCACCACATGAGACAGCACTTTGTGTGATCCACAAATTGTTGTTCCTAGTTTGGGTGTTCTTTGTGTCCTTTTTGTAAATGTCAGGATATTTTCCTAGTACGGAAATTGTCTCAAAAAACTCTCTGTTATTAAAGTATTGAGTACACCGTAGTCTAAGATCTTTTAGGTAAATCAAACGCAACCGCCAGAGGGCGCTTCGATGATGTACGCACAACAATTTGTTTTCTCTCTTTTGTTTGACGAGCCTTGCTAAAGAACACTTAATTTATTCCCTTTGAATATTCAAACCGTTAACTCCTCAATACTCGTTTAATTTTCTAATATAGCAATAGGAACTCGCAAGATAATATTTTGCTAAAATCTCAAATAAACGTAACGTCTCACAGTAATGCGACCAGCATTTTACTAAAAGAAAGATATTTAAGCAAGCCAAGAACTTACCTACTAAATGCTCCGTAATTTAATTTGATGCTTTTGGCGTAAGCTACTTTCGAAAGACGAGCAAATTCGAACTAGTATTCAAATTGTTTAGTTCTAGCTTTTGTCCGCAGCTCCAACCGCGTGTATGTCAGTTATCGCAATAAAAATTATGTATTTTTAATTAGTAGCCTGTTATTCGCTGATAATGTAGCTTTCCATTGGTGAAAGAATTTTTATAATCGGTTCAGTGGTTTAGGCGTGAAAGCGTAACAAACAAACAAACTCAGTTTCACATATAATATAAGTATGGCTTTGGAATTATATGGGACAAATGAACAGACGAATCACCTGATGGTAAGTGACTACCATTAACACCTGCAACTCAAGAGATAGAAATTCGTCTCTTTGAATGCCCTCAGATTTAGGGCAGTTGGGCCTTACTTACTCACAACACCGTTTTTTTTTGCGAATACTAACACTGCTTTTGAGCAGTCCCATACGTGCATGGCTCTCCCACGGCAAGCAAAAATCTCTTGATGTAACAAAGTAAAAAATTAAAATAGTAAAGTAGCTATTTTCTAATCGAGTGTCTCAAAAGTCTCCAATAGAAGCTTCCAAGACACACATCGCGCAATCATTTGACTATCTAAATTTTGTTACTGAAAAAGAATGTCCATCATTTTCCTTCAGAATTGTGGTTACACTCACGAACGTAGGCACAGAGATCCCTATTATTAATCATTTCATTGCTTTAATGAATGTAA